TGTATGCATTCAGATCTCCATAAATTTTACGGAGAAGCTTTTGAATGGAAATTCTATCTGATCTTTTCGAAAAGTTCTTTTCAAAAATTATCAGCGTTGTTATATTGTTCTTTCGTTATAAATATTTTGTAACATATTTCAAGTTACAAAAAAAATTAAAAAAGTAGCTAATGTGATTATTTTGTTGATTATTTTCCTGTGAAAAATTACTTCTTGACATGTAGACTACTCATCAGCTATTTTATAATGCGATTAAGCATTAATTATATTTATACGTGCTGATGATCAGATTCTAAATGCGGAGGAAAATTCGCGGTATCGATTCATCTCTAGGATCCAATTGCTTCGTCAACGACGTCAGTTCGATGTAGAGCGATTTCATTAGGCCTGGTTATAAATAGTCTTTCATGCTTCATAGTTATCAATAAGAAATGCATCATGCACGATAGCAACGACGTTCTCTTTGGACATCGAGGAGCATGCCGCTGTCATACATTGCTGTAAGCTCTTTATTCCACGGCAAACAACGGCACTGTTGTGTTGGAAATAATAAGACCCGTTGCTTTCGAAAAAAAGAACATTCTGAAAATACTGAAACGTTGTCGTAGAGAACTTCGGTGCGTTTTACCAACTCGCGTATCGTGTCTATGCCCACGTACAGGCAATATAATGTCTTTATCAATAACGATTACCGCACGCGGCCAGATTATAGCCTTTGATATTACGTATTATGAAACCAACACGACTTCTTTTTATACATCGTGGTGTGGTTTGAAACTCAAGTATACTGAAATACTCGTTGTTTGAAAATTTTATCTCGCAATTACTCGTAATTGATATGTAACTGGAAGCGAAATTGAATCGCAAGCCCATTAAATAGCAACAATCCCACTGATGCGTTTACGATCGTTGTAATCAGCGTAGCAACAACGGGACAAACGGTATCACGTGATGCAAAGCGTGAGACGCATGAATAAACTTTTTAGAGAAAGAAAAAAAATAAAAGAACAGCATCCGCTCTGAAAACGGTTTAGGTCGAAGATTGCGGGCTTCAAGTATCGCTGACTCACGGGCTGCAGTCGTGATCGTGAAAGGGAACGACGGAAGAAGAAAAAACGAGGGGGCGGAAAGGAGGCAGGGGGAACCGAGCCTGTGTACATACAATGCGTAACAGTAAAAAAAATAAACGCGCGGAGCATGATACTCGCGATACGCGCGCACGAGTGGACGCAACTCGACGCGCGTATACGAAACATTTATCAAATTGTTGTTAAATGACGTATTCGCTAGTCCAAACGTTCTCCGGCTATCATCGAGGCCGCCTATCTCCGCCGGAATCGATACAATTATTTGCGCGATAATGCAAGCCGATTTATGTCACGAGGATGGTGTGTCAACCATCGAGTTCACGACTAATTGAAACGTCCTGTGAAACGCTCACGAGATATCGAATAATCTTTCCAGAGACACGTATAATCCGTCAAACCGTTTTTCACGCGCGAATTCCGCCATACCGTTTACACCGTTAATCGATCGTGTTAAATGTTGAAAGCGCGAAACTTTAGAACTCGCATAGAACATACACGTTTTTAGTATACGTTATTCTTTCAAAGCATTTTTTGTCGAAGCCAATATAGATTTACGCAACATCGAAAAATGTGAGACACACGAATGTTTATTTCATAAACGCTGGCAGAGAGATTTAAAAGGTGTGAACCATCACCTCAAATTTCAACGACCGAAATCATTTTTCCGCAATAAATGCCAAAATGTAACGGAAAAAGCGAATTTGTCCCGCCGAGCGCGATGTTCCATCTCTTTAAACCTTGACATTTATAGCATGCGGCAAAAGTACGTGTCTCATATTCTTCACACTAAAAATTTGCGTCGGTTTGAATAAAAAAAGGTGCGTGTGTCGCTTCTAGTAAATACCTTGCCGGAGTCGCAGAATCGACGGAAGACTCGGGAAGACCCCACGGTAAGGACGACGAGAGAGAGAGATACCTGCAAACAGATACGTTCAGTTTAATTCGATGTTGACGTCTTTGAGAAAAAAACATTTAAATAACGTAGCGCGATCCGCTTTTTATACAAAACGCGATTGACCGATGCAAAATGTGCCAGTGGTCGTATAAGCCGTATTGATCAGCCCTGCGCCGACGACGCGCCACTTCCGTTAATGCAGACGCCGCCGCGCCGGCCGGGGAGAGAACGCCGATATACCGAAATTCTCCGTGTTACACATGGACCATTAATACTGAGCGTGTGGCATTCCGTTACTATATTCCGAGATGCCTATCCCGACGATGAAGGCTAGTCGCGGCGTCGTGACATCCACCCGGCCATCGATCACAGTTAAATTACCTGCCGCGCGTTCTCCGAGCCCGTATATACAGTATATATAACACTCGGTCCAACGGACAGATCGAGGCTACCGGAGAATCGTCCGGAAAACGAGACGCTCTCTCGCACTCGTTCGCACACGCGATAAATAATTTAAAAATAAATATAACAATTTACGAGGTAACGTAATAAACATATCTCTGTAATTCGCGAGTATATGAATACCGGGCGATCGAGCTTTTCGAAACGTACATAAAAGCAGCCGTAAATTTTGCATCGCTCGATTATCGCGTCGTAATTGATTGCCGGGCGGTGTATAATTAATAATCCCCTCCTCGCCGAACGCGGCGTTCGTTGCGACGCGTACCGTGTGTCAGAAATAAAGTGATATTCGGAGTACGATATCGCGCGTTTCCATATTCGAACGCGTTTTGCGCGCGCTCCCCTTTGTCGACGGTATTCTCTTAACCCCATTCACGGTTGACCGGCTACACGCCCGGGCCGATTGCGTTATAAAAAATGCACGAGCCCGCCCGCCGTCGAACGGGCCGGATAAAAAGTATGTAACGCGGATGAGATATGAACCGCCATACGAGCTGCGAAACTGATTCGCCAGTTTGAGGAAGGCGTTTGCTCGAGTCTGCTTTATCGAATATCTATACCGCCATATTGTGAGAAAAGGGAAAAAGTAAGGAGAGATCGATCTAATATGGAAGAGAAGATGAGCCCGGCGGCGAGGGTCTCATCCTCCGATCAATTCTGACTCGCGATCGTTTACACGCGATCTGATGGTTCTCGTATATGCGATAAATATACGGTAGCATTTCGCAATATTGTAATGGACAAACCGTTTTAGATTCTCCTGACCGCTCGATCCCCGCAATCGCGCAACTCTGCAACCGCGAACCGCGAACTTGGCGCGTCGCTACGTCGACGCCGCCGCCGCCGCCGCCACCGATCGCGCTCTCTCGCGGTCGATCTCGGCGTCGACTACCGCGTCGGTAATCGAGAATTCTCGATTCGAGATTCGATTTGAATATGCGCGAAAGCGAGGGAGAAACTCGAGATTTATTTTTTCTTTTTTATTTTATTTTTATCCTCTTCTCTTTTTTGTAATTTTTCTTCACGTTATGAAGAAAAAGCGATAAATGAGAGTACGATAAAAATAGAATATGTAGCATATATCGAAAGATAAAACTGTTTAATCATTCTTTCGGATAACGCATAATAATAAAGTATTTGATTCGAGCAAAGCCATGTAAATTAATTGTATGCACAATCGTGTAAAATACATTCGAAAGGAGAGGAGGAGATGGCATGCTTGGACATAAAAAAATTATTTTCTTAAATGTAAACACTTGTAAAAAATTAAATGTATAAATAACAAAGGACTCTCGGTAATGAAATTAATAAGTGAAAAGGGGTTTTGAGAGACTGCTGAGAGTATGTGTTACAATGCGGTTGACAGTGCGTAAGTTAACGTTATATCGATCTTGAATAACTAATAGAATACACAATTACACATCGTTATGCATTAATTCGTAAAAAGCGCTAAATATTTCGAAAACAACAGCTCAATAAGTACGTGTTCCATAACGAACGTTCGTCCTTAAATTTTTTATTTCTCATAGGAAATTATTTTGGGACAGAACAGAGCCTGTAATATAGCGCGTTACCCGTTGGAAATATTCCTGGACTGATCACCGACCACGTAATTCAATATCCACGTTTTGTACATACGCAGAGGCGCCACTAGACGGATATTCCACCTGAATGAAACGCGGGCATGTCCATTTCTGCCAACGCAGATTGACTTTAATCTCGGTTTAACTTACTTTTCACCCTTTTCTAGTTGTAAGAAATAAAAAAGATAAAAGGTAAGTTAAACCGAGATTAAAGTTAATCCGCAATGGATAGAAATGGACATCGGACTTCTCTCGGCGAGAATCATGTCGCGCGCCTGCGCACGAAGGACTTTGTCACGAATACTTTCGAGTCGATAACGACGTCATGACATATCGGGCGATTCGGTGCGATTACGCATCGATCCAACGACACGTCGAGCAGAATCGATCACGCTCGTCCTAAATCGTGTCATCCTTACGTCGGGCTGACGGTCGTGCCGTCGAGAAAGAAAAGAGCCGGAGCCCGGAGCGGTGACCAAGTGACCAGCGCAGCGCGCAGCAGTGACGGAATTTGACGAATTGACGGAGATCGGGAGATTGCACAGGTTGAAGAGGTTTCGCCGTGGCGACGACAGACGGCGCTGAACGCCGTCGGCCGAATGACGTTCACACGGCGGAGGCGCATCGGCGACTGGTCACGTCGCCGTGGCCGCCGCGACCAATTGGCGGCCGCCGGCGCGTACCACGTGACCGAAAAAATCGAAATGGTGGACGTATCGGGACGCAGGACCCCGTGCGGTGACGAAGGACGATAAACCTGGGCAAGGGTCCCCCGTCCATCCGTGGCGATCGGTGAGACCGTGCGTAAATCCTCGCGGCGGGCGAGCGTGCTATCTCGCGAGGTGCCGCGCGGCCAGGTGGAAACCCGCCGCGACGCGACGCGATCTCGAGGTCGTCCGCGGGCCCCGCGGTCCCCAGGCCGGTCCGGTGCGCGCTTGACGGATCGATCCCGCGACACGGTGCACGGTCCACGGTGCCCCGCGATCGTCGACCGCGCGCGGCCAGCAGCGCGCGTGTGACCGTGTGTTTACCCAAGTGTCAAACCAGCCCCGTATTGTACGCGCGCGTGTCCGCCGTGTCGCCCGCCCGTGTCCCCGCGGCCGATCGCTCGTGAGAGACGGTGCCGACGGACGGTGGCACGGACGACGTTGGCGCGGCGCGCGTCAAACCGCGGACGCATCACACCCGGCCGTTCGTCGATCCATCCCCGCGCGACGGTGCGCATTGTACGTACATACGTCCGCGTGCGCGCACAATCGTCGGCGACGCGAGGAGTCCGCGAAGGAACGAGCGGATGCGAGAAGGGGAGAAGGCGAAGGACCGAGTCGGGACCTCACGAGGAGTACGAGGACAAGACAGCGGCTCTCCTTCGCGCGGCGACGGCGGCGGGCAGCATGCCCGAGCGCACCGCGCGGGCCCCGCTGCACCCGGAGGACGATGCGCCCCAACGTGGATCCCGCGACCGACGGAGGAGGTAAACGGCGACGGCGACGGACGCGAAAGTGTATCAAGCGCGCGAGGCAGGCACTCACGCGTGCCTCGCAACGATGCATTCCTTCGCGGTGATATCGCACGGCGCGGGCGCCCCGTGTGTGATTCAGCTTCTGCCCCAGAAACTCGCCGCTACGGTTCACAGGCGCGGTTTATCACGTTGACGTTCGCTCGGCCGTCGATCGGCGAGGCACGGTCCGTGACCCGTCAGTCCGCACAGCGGGGGACCCCGTGCGTGTCCCCAAATGTCATACGGCCGTCGACTCCCCCCCCCCTCCCTCTCCTCTTCCCTCGCCGCTCGCCGTGCGAGTGGTGCGAGGAAACGAACGATTGCGGTATCGCGGAAACGCTAAATACCGCTCGCGGCATTCCTTTGTACGAGCGTGTACGAGGCGCGAGGCCGCTATCAATCGACGAAGTCGCCGATCTCGAGAGAGAGAGAAAGAGCCCCTGGACCGCGACGGAACGCCTCTGCCCGTGTATTCCTGGAGGTAGGAGGAGGAGCGGCTCGCGCGGTGTGTTTTTCTCGCGTTCGCGCGCGACGGCGCGGTTATTTGCGTGCACGCACAGTCCCACGGTCTCGTCGGAAAAACCGTCGTCCCCGGGGTAGAAGTGAGATATTTTTGAATTCGACCGTGCATCGTGCATCTCATCGACGTTCGCGGGGCGCGCGCGACACGTGCGAGAAGCGCGACTCGCAGTGGAGGACCGCGCGCGGTGGCCGTCGCCGAGAGAGAGAGAGAGAGAGAGCGATCGGGGGAAATAAAAAAAAGTTCGATTATTCTTATCCGTTCTTCGCTTTTAATAGCCGTTCCAATAGCCGCCTCCCTCCTACGCGATTCGCAATGTGCGTTCTATCCTGCGCTCGTTTAAAATAGAAATGCAATGCACCTGTTCCATTCACGTTCCCGTCGCACGCCCTGAGAGAGGCGCGTTACAACGTAACTAAAACCGGGATTGGTTTATTTTATACGCGTGTAACGCGATCCCTCGCTCGATCGATTTAAAATTTTTGCCGTTTCCGTGATGTTGAATGAGGTATTCAGCTTAAATGTAACCCCGATTGAAATGATATTAGACGTTTAATGTGATCCTGCTTTCGCGCCCTTCTTTACATTAATGCGTTATATGCATTTATTATTATTTTTTTTTTCCAGATAGGACACTTTTCTGATTTAGAGAAAACTTTGTGCAATAGACGGAAATGATAAAGCAGCACTTGTGAAACTATTGCAATAAATATGCTGAAATACTCAAGAGGCACGAGAATATTTACAATACGCTGAAAACCTTGGATTTTTGTCAGAACAAGGAAACTAAGTTACTGCCTACCAACAATAGCACACCCACGCCTGTCTGTCACCTGTTCAGTGAATGTTGTGATAATAATTTAATGCTGTCGGAAAGGCTCCATTTGACAGTCCGGGTTAAGCGCATGATGTTCAAATAAAGCAGGCTATTCTACGACTCTATAAATACTCTAACGCTTAATGAACAAATCAGGAACAATGACCTATCGAATTGACTGAACGTATAAATCTATTGAAAAGAAAAAGAAATAATTCCAACGACTCTATTTTATTACATTAATAATTATTAACGATTGGAATACTCTACGATATATTGAGAAAGACCTAGGAATAATTTTGAAAGGGCTTTAAAATTTCTTATTGATATGTTTTATGACCACGAGAGATGCAAATTTTTATTTTATATCACACAGATTTATTTTTAAAACTTTAAGTTGATACACGTTATTAAAGTTGGTTACCTCTCAAAATCTCGAGCCAATTGGCAAGTGTATTTGGCAAAAGTAAATAATCCCAAATTGTATCAAAAGTATAGTAGAATTAACGCGTGTAAATAATCATAAACATTGACGTTGTATTGTTGCAAGCTTGTAAAACAAAATGTATAATAATTATTTTAAACGCTTAAATCAGTGGTTGTACATAACGAGTAAACAAGAAGAAGGGGAAACAACGTATTTGAAATATTATATAGATGACAGAGGACATACTTGCTAACAACCCTCTTCGATACAAGGTATGCTGCTATAATAGAATGACTTAATTTGTATAATAGATTATCTTTGTTTATTTTTATAATCCATGATCTCAGGGTTAAAAAAAATGGACAACAGTGGGTCTGGAGTGGTGCAAGTATTCGTGGGTGAATGGAGCCCTGAATATGAGGCGCTCTCCATTAAAGCCACAAAACAAACTTCGTCAGCCGAGATAGTAGAATGTATTATTGAAAGACTCGGACTGATGGACGCTTCTGTTTCGAATGGCTACGAGTTAGCGGAAGTGGTAGGGAATTCTGTTGGGCAGGAATGTAAGGAAAGAAGACTCGGCCCGGCTGAGTGCCCCGTAGCACTAATGTTACTGTGGCCAAAAAATGATACTCAGCAAGAATATTACAGGTTTATTATGTTTGGATATAATAATTACGTTTTATTATATTAGTCCCTTGATTTAAGGTGATTTCTCACGAAACAATTTTCATGCTTGATTTTTCAGATTTTACCTACGAAAAAAGCAACCAGACTACTTGTGGTCTGACAGTAGATTTCCTATGGATCCTCAACTCCTAAAGGACTATTTTAATAGATTCCTTTATCAACCACGTGACAAGGAATATCCAGATCTGTGTCAGCTTCCAGATCTGAACGAACAAACCCTATTGGATAATCTGAGGGCAAGGTTTTTGGCTGGCAACATATATACTTATGTCGGCAGCATACTAATTGCCTTGAATCCATTCAAATTCTACCCTATCTACAATCCGAAATATGTCAAGTTATATCAAAACAGAAGGTTGGGTCCGGACATACCTCCTCATATATTTGCCATAGCCGATGCAGCTTATCATTGTATGCTTAAGGAGAAGAAGAATCAGTGTATCGTTATTAGTGGTGAAAGCGGTTCTGGTAAAACGGAATCAACGAATTTTTTGTTACATCACTTGACAGCGCTTAGTCAAAAGGGTTCACATGGCAGCGGTGTGGAACAGACAATACTCAGCGCTGGACCTGTTCTAGAAGCATTTGGCAATGCGAAAACGGCCCATAATAACAACAGCAGTCGCTTTGGAAAATTTATCCAAGTAAATTACAAGGAAAATGGAATGGTCCATGGGTATGTTTTACAGTAAAAAACGTTCTAAATATAAACTAAAGTAAAATATAATTTACATCTAAATGCATTTTATAGCGCTGTGGTACAAAAATACCTTCTGGAGAAATCAAGGATTGTTTCTCAAGGACGAAATGAAAGGAATTATCACGTGTTTTATTACCTATTGGCTGGCGCGAACGAGCAAGAGAAACAGCTATTGCACTTGGAGAGCTGTGATCGGTATAATTACTTAAATAAAAGCGGTTGCTACGGACTGGAAAATATCGACGAACGACATGAATTTTCGAGATTAAAACAGTCTATGGAAATGGTGGGCTTTACAGCAGAGAAGCAAAGGCGACTCTTCGCAGTTCTGTCGGCAGTCCTTTTGCTAGGTAATTGCCGAATTACCTAGCCATACCATGTGTGTCGCTAAAATAACTCTGCATTCTTGACTTAGGTAATGTTGAGTTTCATCCAAGAAAGTCATATCATCATCATGACGAAGCTGTAGGCGTTAAAAATCCAGAAGTAGTTGCATTGATATCGGAGCTTCTCCGAGTGAAACAAGAAACTCTGTTGGCTGCACTCACTGCCAAACGTGCAAGAGCTTCCGGAGAGACTTTAGTTATTAACTATAGGCTTCCCGAAGCGATTGCGGCACGCGATGCCATGGCAAAGTGTCTGTACGGAGCTTTATTTGATTGGATTGTGCTGCAGGTAATAAAAGTGCCTATAAACAACTATGGTTATTAACTGCACGACACTTGAAATAATTCATATCGCTTATATCAGGTGAATCATGCCCTGCTTTCTAAAAAAGATACTCTCAGAGATCATCAAGGCAATAGTATAGGTGTATTAGATATATTTGGCTTCGAAGATTTCAAAACATGCAACAGTTTCGAGCAATTGTGTATCAATTACGCAAATGAGCAATTACAACATTACTTTAACCAACATGTTTTCCAATACGAACAACGAGAATATAGAAAGCAGGGAATTAGATGGACAGACATAGGATACAGCGACAACTCCGGATGTCTCAATCTCATCGAAGGAAAACCGAGTGGTCTCTTGTGTCTTCTTGATGACCAGTGCAAGTTAGTATTATTGCTTAAATACATTGTTCTTTCCGAAGTTTGTGAAATATGTTTCGAATATTTGACTTTATCTTGCAGCTTTCCTGGTGCGACAAACGAGACGTTGCTACAGAAATTTAACTCTGTGCATAAAGATAATCCGTTCTATGAGGCACCGCAGCGCCGAGAAGCGGCGTTTGTTGTACGTCATTACGCCGGTGCGGTCAAGTACCAAGCAGCTAATATGAGAGAAAAGAATCTAGACTTAATGCGACCCGATGGCGTAGTTGGAGTGTTGAAAAATTCCTCCCTTGCTTTCGTGCGGGAGTTAGTCGGCGCTGATCCGGTTGCCGTATTCAGGTGGGCCATACTGCGGGCCTTCTTTCGCGCACACTTTGCATTTCAAGAAGCCGGTCGAGCACACAGACATGGTAGAGGTAGATATTAAATTATAACACGTTGTTTGAACATCTTTAATGCATCGATTAATTCAAGGAATTAATTTAAAAATATGTGCCTTTTCTTTCAGTTGATGGAACCAAGACGTCTGTACAAAACAGGTACAGAACACCCAACGAGAATTTAATAAGGTAATATTTAAATCTTTTTAGCTTTCTAATTAAATAACGTTTTTTCTATATATGAACGGTAATAAAAGAGTACCAAACGCTTCTATCTGTAACCTATATATAACAAAGCAAGATATAGTATTAAATTGAAAATTGTGTGAGAAGAAAGTGCTTGTTGCGCTTGTTTTTTTGGACATGTTTGATCTGTATATTGTCTCATCTAGTATGAATCTACGTTGTGCGTCAATAATACATGCATCACGCTCTGACAAAGTTTTGGTATTTATAAATTAAGACGAATCTATTATATTTATATTGGCCATATGTCTTTTATTCCTTTGTAGCCATCTTGTGACGTTGTCGACAGTCAATCTAACTATTAACCGAATTGCGTAAGTGGTCTTTCGATCCACTGTATGTGTAATTTTCGCAAATGTTATATTTTGTTGATATATCCCATGGATTTACAACAAATTAAAGTATATTAATAATATTTGTGACGATCAACCTCAGCTTTAAATAATTTAGAAAAATATTTATTCTGAGTAAATTTGTAAATCCATATATATTTTGCTCCAAATATGTGTGTCTACAGATTTTATTTTGATTTATGTTTGCACCCCTCGTGTTAGCCATAACTAGAATGCAATTTCCATGACATTTCCATACAATTACATTCTATCATTGTACAATGTTCTTCTTGTTATTGTATCTGGGCATGATTTATGACGCAAAACTGAATTTCCTTTTATACAGTTCATATCTCAATCATCTCATTTTTTCTACTTTTCGAATCGTTCATCAATCAATGAAACATCTCTGAGGAATGGATATCACATACCTATATAAAGCTCGGTACACGCGACCGAAAAAAAGCAAATTAAAAATGAACAACCAATTATTTATAAACGATAATTAGTTAATCGTAAGGAATATCGTCGGTCGACGAAATAATTAAGAACTAGAAAATTTTTCAGTTCACACAAACATACTCGCCCACCAAGTTATCAGAAGCAACGCAGTGTATGTTTACCACCGGCCACTACTCCTTCTGCTACATTATCTTCTATACAAACCGAAAACGACAATATAAACAACAATCGTCTATCATGGCCACAATTTAGAAACATTAATCAGACGCAACACCCGTCAAACGTTGCGTCGTCGAAGGGTGGTTACATATTAAGGGGCAGGGAAGACCAGTCCCATAGTAATAATAAATTCAGACGAGATACTCACACACCGCTAGAGAGGGTGCTTCCAAAAGACGAAGCAAACGTCATGGAACGCGCTAATCAGATTGTCATGTATGTAAAACGTATCTATTCGATATACTCATTTAATAACGTAATTTAAGCTACAGAGAAAAATTACTGATCTACACCAAGATTAGTACGTGCTCCATAGCAATTCCGGGTGGTGATGGGTTTCTTTCTTGTAGGTAATAGCATTTTCGTAAGCCATTAATAGTCAAAATTGTACCGTGGCTTTATCCATTTATCTTAACTTCTCAATGACATACCGCTGCATATCTTTTGATAATCAAAGACCATCATATTTCATCATAGAACCATTTCTCATTATGTGTAGTCTATCGCCAATCTTGCAATTGTTCTCGATATATTTAATGATGATTGCTGCATGCTGAGTGTTTTGCAATAGTTCTTTAAAAAAATAATTTTTACAAATTACAAATTGCATATATCTTATTTGTAACTACTGTTATGACCATGAATAATTTGATTTGTGACATAGAATATGAATTAGTTTTATTATAATTACAAATTAAAAATAATGTAATTCTACATTAGTATTTCATTTATATCATTATTATAACATTCATCTATCAAATATTTCTACATATTACCCTTAAGCTTGCTATGTTTCTTACTATATCTACTTGTACTATACTACATCAATTTTCTACTATGCCTTATTTCATATTTCGTATATTAGATATATTTTGTGTATTAGATAAACATACATTTTTGATACTTGTAGACTTTATAGAGCATCGCTGACTAGATTGTAATTCCTTCTCCTGTGTACATATAAAATTATTATCAAGCGTGTGATATATATTATATAATATAATATATATATATACATATTTGTATATACATGACGATATGGTAAATCATAACAGGAGAACGAATATACATCATGTAATAACGAATATTACAAATATTAGCATCGGAATGTTTACAGGAAAAATAAGTCATTTCGGCCGAGGGAACGTGGCAAGAAAGGTCTGAAAAATCTGCAAACTGTAAAGACACTCGCAGGAAGAACTCAGAGTTACGGTACTGGACCGGGAAAAGCCAGAAAACAACCTATGACTGTTTCCGCACAATTTCAACAGAGTTTGCATAGCCTGATGGATACTCTGAATCAGGCAAATCCTTTCTTTATTAGGTGTATTAAGAGTAACGCTAATAAAGTGCCGAATGAATTTGATGAGGAAACGGTACAACGACAGCTGCGCTACACGGGCATGTTGGAGACTGTCAGAATAAGGCAGGCCGGTTTCAACGTGCGATTAACATATGAGGAATTTATACAACTCTATCGAATGCTACTTCCTAAGGGTCTTCTGAGCTCGCAGTCCGACGTGAGGGACTTCCTACTGACTCTCAATCTCAACAGAGATAATTATCAGTTGGGTACTACCAAGGTCTTCCTCAGAGAGTCTGAAAAGATCAAACTAGACATTGAACTTCATCAACAAATCATAACGAGCATTACCACCATACAGAAATGGTTCCGCGCTTGTTTGGAAAGGAGGAAGTTCCTTAGATTAAAGAATGCCGTTGTACAAATACAATCTTTCTGGAGAATGGTCTCAGCACAGCGACTAGCTCAGGTTCTTCGTGCAAGAACCGAAGCCGCATTACATATACAAAATGCTTGGAGAGCATACAAACAACATAACTGGTTTAAAAAGCTGAAGTCATGCGCGATTACCTTCCAGGCATACGTCAGAGGAAATAATGCCAGAAAAAGATTTAATGAAATGAAAAGACGAAAAAGACTTTTACCAGACAAAATTCAAGAAGTCAAAAGAATTCAAGAATACAAGGAACTTATGTATGATAGAGTATGCGCCAAAGATAGCGAAGAGTAAGTATAACATGCGCATATAACACAATATGAATACCGACTTTATACTATTTTATTTTAATGTACAGGTTTACGGAAGATCGAAGTCTGACAGAGTATGGTGAATCACCTCGAAAAATAGAATCTCAAAATCGACTCACGTCACCAAGGTAGGTATCAAAATTTGAATTCCACAGTTAGAGCGTTTACAAAAGCTTATTGATTTATCTTTTTATAGGAGCGATAACGCGTATCGAGACAGCACTTTGGATACAAATATCTCGTATTCCAAACGAAAGCTCACTCCGAACAAGCGAATTTTGCACGACGCAACGTTGAAGAACACCGAAACCTATCATTTCGACGAGATGACAGAGCGTAAAAGTAGTCTCGAGAGTTTGACTAGTCTGAGGAGTTACGAATCTCAAGCCAGCGTCAACAGTTCTGAATCGCAAGAGAATTCCGGCTCGAGACCTGTGCCGAGCACCAGGACGAAACGCGGTGATCATTCGCCGGCGGTCGCATCGAATGTAAATCTAACGTCGAGTCGACTCTCTTCGGTGAGTAGAAGAACTGACAGTTCCTCGACGGGATATAGCGACGGTGAGACCGAAAGCGAAACACCGAGCGCCGTGCAAAGTGCTCCACCTGTTTTCAACACGAGTCCACCGTTCGTCAGTTCGCGCGACATGAAGTATCACTCCACCAACGTAAATCTGACGCACAGTCCGAATTCGGATATCTGGCGTCGTAGAGTAGATTACTCGCCCGCCAATTACAGCGACTACTTTATGTCGGTACCTCAGAAAGCAACTGTTACCCGTTCTCCGAACGTTTCTCATTACAAGAATGTGGCGGATAGCGTTTTTGAACAAGCCCGACCGGAGAAGCCCAACGAAGCAGCGAATTATAATGTCAAACTCGACACGAGCGATCGCTTCGTTCAGATGGAAAGCTTGGCGAGCAGCAAGCAACAACGTGGACTCAATGACAACAATGTAGCTAATGAGCGAATGGAAAATATTCCGATATCGCCGACAAAGCGAGATCATACCAAGCACGGATCTGCCAAGAATATCAAAGATCTTAGCTATTTGCGGCGACAAAACTCGGAAGGAGATACTGCGCTGAAAGTCGTGGACGTCAACGATGACAGTGCTTTGAAGAGCACTTTATTAAGAGGATCATCCCCAAATGAAAAGAACTCACGTTCGAAGGAGAAATACGAGCCAGACGTGCCGGTGAGAAACGCAAGACGAAATAGACCTTCGAGAGAGGTTCAGTGTCGATCTATGGGCGAGAGCGTAGTCGAAGCTAACACGGAAACGCGAAATCTGCTTCTTGGTACGATTAAGGAAAGCGACTTGAATAAAACGACGAACGTATGGTCACGAAAAGATTATCCACACGAGACTGCTTCTCGGTCCGTTACGGATTGGCCCATGAACAAGAATGAAGCTACATACAAGGTACAGCAGCCCGGTAAACGCATGAGATCTAACGCGATCACGACTCTCGAGCTGCGAAGGAGAAACTCCGATCCAGCTACGAAAATTTCGGGTCTAAGTGAAGATAAAATAGGACAGGATACCAGCTCGAACGACCTGAAACTCGCGCCTGGTATGGATCTTCTTCAATGGAAAGGTAACGTGTTTACCTTGGCCGGCCATCGTTTCCGAAAAGTGGCGAGATTTGCTAAGGACGATGTATGCGTGTGTTGCCATGAGAAAATGGACGCGTTTGTGACGCAAGGCTACAAATGTGTCGACTGCAAGCAGCTATATCATGTCAAGTGCATTCAAAACGGCGGAGTACTAAGAATGCCGTGCTTATTGGCCAACAGACGGAAAAATAGAAAACCACCGCGCACACCGTACGATACTACGAAACAAACAGTCACGTCCAAATTCAGTCTAACCGGTACTTCAGCCTTCTCCGATAGCACGGACAAAATCATTTCCGATGCCAAGGAGTTAGCTCTGATGCAAGACTTTATCACCAAGAAGATCTACAAAATGCAGAGTCAAGAAGAGGGACGGAAACCGAGCGAAGTGGATCGCGTTTTCAAGCATGCTCTTAGGAAATTCAAGGACGACCTGGTGATCACGTATAGCGTCGCCATACAGCAAGGCGTAGAAGGTAACATCAAGTACACCGATTTGATCGCCAACTTTCTTCACGTTATGGAAACTGTCTGCAAGCAAGAAAACACGAGAGAAGATTTCCCTGTAACGATGGGCGTGAATGCGTTCAGAGGTTTCATGAATGAATTTATGGCTATGGTTAAAACTGAAGCTCTCGAAAAGCAAAGCAAGAGCAAACGGAAAAAGGAGAAGAAGCGGAAGCAGGAAGAGCCCATACGACATGGTAGTCACATGTTCCAGTTGACCATTATCAACATACCCACCGCTTGCGAAGTCTGCACATCTTTCTTCATGTGGCCTATTGAACGAGGACTCGTGTGCCAGAGTAAGTAATCTCCATTCGCATAATAAATCCGTTTTTTATATTTTTTCTTTTCAACGATTATAATTAATTGCAATGTATATATTTCGTTTTTAGATTGTAAATTGACATGCCACAAAAAGTGCTACATGAAGGCGTCAGCAGAATGCGGCAAAGACGGTTCTCTGTCTGAAATGAATTCGCGCAAAGTATTTGGTGTACCACTGTACAAGTTGGACTGCGGTGACGGCAAAGTACCACTCGTAGTAGATCGATTGATCACAACTATCGAGATGCACGGTCTCTATACCGAGGGCATATACAGAAAGAGCGGTGTCAGTTCCAAAGTGAGAGAACTCAAAATGAAAATGGACGAGGGCGACTTAGAGAAGGTGGATTTCGAGAACTATCAAGTGCATGTGTTAGCTGCGGTGCTGAAGAGTTTTTTCAGAGACATGCCGGAACCGCTCTTGACCTACGAATATTACGACGACTTTCTGCACGCGGCAAACTTGACGGATCCGCACGATCGAATCAGCACGCTCTTCGCCATACTGAAGAAATTGCCGAAACCGAACTACGATCTGATGGAACGCTTGATTGTTCATCTGGCGCGAGTAGCGCGACACGAGGAGGACAATAGAATGTCACCATCGGCTCTGGCCATCGTTTTCGCACCGTGCATCCTCAGAACGAACAGGACATTGCCCGCGCAAGATTCTCTTCAAGACGTGGGCAGACAGACGCGTTGCGTCGAAACGATTGTGCAGGAAAAGTTGAGAGTAGTCAGAGCGACGCTAGCGGACATAAATACTCTCGAGTCAGCCTGTCACACGGCGACACATCGACTCTCCAGTTTACGATCGTCCAAGATCTTTAGTCCAGAAGAGTTGAACGTGGCCGCCTCGACCGCTGCAGGACGGGCAGCTGCGATGGATCGCGACAGGGATCGAGGAGATGAAGAGGAAGCCCTACTCGTTGATCATATACAAGAAATCCAGAAGGAGAAGGCCCTCTTGACGTCTACTCTACCCAGTTTAACGAGAGCTTCTTCAGACGATGATCTCCTCTTGTCAGCCACGGATCTAGACGATGGATCCCTCGACGATCTTCTCCCATCTTCCGCTGGTAAGTACTTTCTAAGAATTGATTATAATTGTGCAATTTAATCAACAAATTTTCCAATAACGTTATTTATGTTGGCAAAGATTTATAAGAGAACTATCAAGAAATCATGCGTTTAATTACTTCATTGTTTTACTGAGTGATTGACTTCTAAGACAATTCTTTATCGTCAAATCGACAAAAGGTGCTTAAGATAGGTACTAAGATAGATATAGATAGGCTTCTAGGTTTAAGATCTTTTTACTTTTATTAATCACAGACGGACTCGTAAGGAAGAAGCCCGTTCAAAGGCAAAGTTCAGCAGACAATTCGTTTCCAACGATTATCAATATGGACGACGACATGGTAATGGTATGAATAGCGTCCACGAATAATGTTAACGCGCATTCTGAATGATCATAGCAATCTGATAGATGATGCGAAATATCGTATTAGGGCAGAGAATCAACAACTTTAATTGCTGGTCTTTTCAGCCGATTGTTAATGTGTTGAGAAACCTTTAGTGAACGCATTATATAGTTCTCGTAATTTGTTGACTCCATTAAAAAAAAAAAGATTTAATTGTGCGACTGAAATAATTCCATTCTCTTATCGAAGTCAGTAGAGATATCTAAAACTATTTCGTACAATGTATTAGGAAAAAAAAACTGCACAAATTTTAACTTAGTCGCATGATTTTATTCGCAATGCATTCCTTTCTTTGAAGACTGTCGAAGTATTTAGGCGCAACGTTTCGTTCGTCTGTAGATCCTAAAAGAAACATTATTAACACGCTGCTTTACACATTTTAAATATAAGAGATGAAACCACAGAAAAACTAGAAAGTATTTAAAGAAAAGCGTACTGCTCTTAAAAAAATCTATATATATGTATATATATATATATTTTTTTTTTAGAAATTTCTGCTTATCAAAGTGATGAGGGAGTCATACCGAATTACTTGTTTTTACAAATTTACGTTCATAAAAATGTAGTTTATTGTTGCACCGTGTTACAATTCTCTGTAAACATTATTTTTTACGGAGAATCTTTCTAATATGTGTAGATGCGCTGTTCCTTAATAACTATTTGTTTAGCGTTAGTAGATCTGTCACTTCAAAATCATCTCTTCCTAAAGGATCTACTTGTCACGTTCGAGTAGAATCGATAATCGACCGCTTTGTGAATTCCTGTGCGAGATGTTTTTACTATATTTCGTTACGATGTCTGACGACGATAGCCGATTTAAAACGTTAGGTTTAGGCGCAGGAATTTAAGAGACGACCAAGAGAGAAAGAGGAAACCAAAACATAGTTTGTACATATTATGCAATATAACAATTTCGTAATAATCTGTTATTATTGTTGAATTTACGCGAGAGACATTTAACGAGATTATATTTCTACTGTCGATATTCGTTGTAGGGATAACCACGTCGTTATCGGGTCTCTACCGGTTTTAGTTTCTTCTCTGGATCGATTTTTACTTAACGCGTTTTTTTTCTCATGCTCAGATGCGTCCCAGAGACATGTGTGCGTATATGTAAATAAAACGCACATTACATACAAGTACTTATGTACATAACAAATTCGCGCGCGCGAGAACTAATCAAACTTGTTCGCTCGAAATTTATTGCATTTTTTTTAAATTTTGTTTTAATTTATAATATATATATATTATATACATATATGTATGTTACTCAGTGTGTCTTAGATCTTTATTGATTCGTTTTTCACGACTTTGCCACGCCGCGCCGTCTCCTTCGTCCATTCGTACGAATTCGTAACTCGTGCCACTTCGTGCGCAATAGCCTGACGATTGTGAGAAAATCGACAATGTGAAAGGAAAGGGGTGAAAGAGATTTCGATCTCGCGTAATAGAAGTCTCTGTCCAATAAGGATAATCAGATCAAGTCCCCACTTACGTACCACGAACTTAATTGAATTCCCTTGCGAATTAATAGTTACGCTTGATGATGATCCCGGATAGAATTGGTCAGTGAATTGAGTCCTACCTTTTATTTCTTTTCCCGGCTTCGGTTAGCAATCGAGTATAACGATATTTTCAATTATAATGGATACAGCGGATGTGGATAGAAAATTTATCATTACGGCCGCGAGGGGGTGACCTATATAAATTTTTTATTCATTATTTCTGATCGCATACATCATACGTTCTGTTGCATCCAATCACCAAAGACTCGTACGCGCAGTTGTTTTTTCATTCTTGTATTTACGTCAATCCCCGATAGTTTCTTTTTTTTCTTTTTTTTTTTTTTTTTTTACTTTGCGTGCATCGTCCGCTTTTTAATACTGAAGCGTCCTATATTTTTAATTGCCTTCGCGTAATACTTTAAAAGAATGAAACTTATATTTCCGTCCTTTCTCGACTCTACAGTTACGTTTGTGCCGCAGGTTGTTTTAAGTTTCGCGTATCGGCAATCGATGATGTGGTAAAAACTTCTTTTTCCGTTCAATTAAATCCCGTCTTTGAGTACTGGACTATGCGCGACTTTTATCCGGATAACTTTTAGGATTAAGTCGAATAATTAAAAAAAAAAAAAAAGAAAAAGAAGGAAAAGAAAAGCAAGAAAGAGAAGCGTTCGTTCTTCCAGAGCATCTTTTTTTCCTCAACTCGCAAAGAACCCATCTCTTCGCGTTTTTGCATTCGTTTTAAGAATAATCGACTCGGCGATGACGAATATCCAAGCGATTATCGTCACGTCAAATCGATCCTCTCGATCGTTTTAAACGGTCTCGGGAAACGGGACGACTTTAAATTGCCTTTTTACAATCGATAAGTTTTACGAAGTGTAGCTAAGGTAAATCGTTATGAAATCGTCTTCACTTTGCGTGGGGGGGAGGGGGGGAATAAATCGTAGTGTTATGTAAATGTAACGTTACCTTTCTCATCTATAAAGCCATGACATCGTGCTCGCGGTGCACAAATGACTTTAAGCGAAGCGGAACGATCTTAACGAAAAAAAAAAAATTCATATACTATAATAGAGAATACCTATATATATTTTTGTTACGTCCACCGAATGAGAGTTCTAAAGTGTGTGTCGTCCTGCGTTAATATATATTAATCGCGAGTGTTAACGCGCTGGTTTCACCCGGTATGCGGTCTGTTGAGAGAATCTTTTTTCTTTTTTACTTGCGACTGTTGTTTCGTTGAAGTGTTCCCCGACACACGCGGTTGACTCAAAGTTTGATTTCACTCGGTTCTTTTTTTTTTTTTTTTTGCTAGTCCGTTGTTACGACATCGAGATATATCGAATTGTTGATTGATTTCTCTCGTCTGTCCTGCGAATAATAACCGAACAATCTATATTCTTCGAGAATTTTACTAGACAGTGGACAGAACGTTTATAATAATAGATATTGTAAATCTGCAGATTACTTCGATGTAACAGAACTGGGTTAGTCGCGTAAGATAAAAGGAAAAAAAAAAAGAAACTAATTATCGTTGTATATGTAAAGTATCATCTACACAAGCACATACGCTTCTTTACTGTGGAAAGTGCTTCGCTCTTGTGATCCGCTCGTGCGAGAAATACCGCGATGCCGAAACGAGATTTCCTCGACGTTCCTTCTCTCTATAGCGAAAGCGAAAATCTCGAACGGCCGTACGAATAATGAAATTGCAATAAAAAAAAAAAAAAAAATCCGCGCCTCTTTCCGCAAGGGACGCTCAAAGTTTCCACCAGCGTGTCTAATTAAATGTAATTAAGAGCCTACACCAAATATATTTCGTCGTCGCAAATTCGGGATTTTCGCAACCGCGGATACATCTTATCCGAAGACGTAAGGACACAGTCGGTCGTAGTATCGTAAGGGCAGCGCACAACAACTCTTCATGACAATATCGTTCCGCAGAAAGTCGCAATTTCCGATATACCCCACAGCTGCTGCAATGACGACGGCGATTCTCGACGCCCTTTTCTCTCCATCCCGTTTCACGCTCTCGTGCCATCTCTCTTGATCTGCTTCGCGCGTCCTATCTTCTCAGCTATCGGGAATCGAGGCAGCGAGCGTGTAACGCGCGTCGCAGACATATGGGAAACCGAACTGAGATCGGTGCTGCGCTACTCGGCCGAATTTTCGAAATACGCTTATTATAAATATAGGGAAAAATTATACGCTCGCTGCCCACGTAATTCATGTTCGATTTCCGTTCGCCAATCGTTCGAAGCTGCATCGATTTTTCTCCCGGAACATCGCCGATCGATTGTGAGAATATTCTTACGCTCGAAATCTTGAACGCTAAAATAAATGTGTTACACAGTTGACGCGGGTGTCTTAGAAGAGAAAACAAACTCAGGACAAGAGAGAGGCAAGAGAGAAGCAACTGGAGAGGATAGTATAGTTCTCGATAATCATTGAGATGTCGCGATATTAATGCTCTTCCCTGTTTGTATCTTGACGTTAAATCTAAGGACGACAGTGAGCAGGACGTCTGCCGATTCTTCGAGTCACGGATATCGCTATATAGAATGTTTTATATCGGAAAGTATATATTTTCTTGTATACTTTGTGCTTATGAAAGATCGACTTTACTAAAGCTTAAAGTGTATTTTTGATTATAATCCGTCTAAAGCTAAATTAAAATTAAATCAAAATTGTTTAGGGCCGTAGCGACGAGATGTAGACACCACACACACACACACACACACACACACACACACACATCCTGCTCGTTATATTTATATATGTGTGTAGCCAGAGTGTACACTTAACAATAGTACATTAATCTTGAACGAACGAAACTTCCTTGGCGAAAATTTTTCCCGGGTATCGTAATCCGTTATATAATTGTTCGTTACAATTATTTATAAATTTTCAATGTTGGATATCTCGGCGCGACCTCGGATTTTAATTTCCGCTAAGGAAAACATCGAATACGACTTTGCTTGCAAAATAAGATCTACGCACTCCTCTTGGAATAATATGTATACATACCATTTATTTTTCTTCGAACGAATGTGTATGCGTGAAAGATAATATATATACATATATACATACCATACATATCTGTATATGTATATATATATATTATGTCGTGCCTCCGTGTGAATATATAAAAGAAAATATAAATATATATATACACACACACATATATATCTAGATATATATAGATACATATGTGTATGTTGCGTGTGTGCATGCGTGTGTGTACTGTGTATTGTAGGCATTCGCAAAAATGCTCGACGGACGACAGCGTCATTTCTCGCACGACAGCAGGCTCGAACGAGGAACGACGCAAATCACGTGTGCACGATGGAGATTATAGACTTTTATTTATACAGCGACGGAACAATTTTTCGAGAGAGATACACGTATGTGACGCGGTAACAAATCGCACGGAGAGAGAAAGCGGAATATATCTTCTCGACTCGTTAGATAATAGCTCAAATAGATTTTCTGTCTGTGTGTGTCTCTCTCTCTCCCTCCCTCCCTCCCGTTCTTTTGTTCATCCCTTGCGATTTTCACCCTGTATTTTTTTCTTTGCTTTGCCAATCGCGATCTGCACTGCGATTCACGCGTGGCGAATCGCTCGGCTTTCCGGTAATCCGTCGAAGGTAGATTTTCTCCTCGCAATTCGTATGACCCTTCAAGCTCTTTCTCTTTTAACCCTCTTTTAACCCTTCTTTTTTAAACTTTTTATTTCGTTTGTCTTCCTCTTTTCACGTTCGACTGCTAATAACCTTTTGCACCCTAATAACCGAGAGTCACCGGTGAGTGAGATACCGTGGAATAGATCGTGCGCAGGGAGGGACGATTCGATGGGAACTTCGACGACAGAGGCGGTTTATGAAGCGTAACGTTTATCTCTTTTTTTTTTCATCCCGGAGTATCGACGCGGAATGTGGTGAGTTTGTGACCCGTCACAGTCCACTCGTACGCGATCGCGCGTAATTGTTCGGAAATCGATACTTCAGGATCAATCGGTGACACGTACGAGCGTATTCATCTTCGGGAATAATAATTTCCGCGAGGGACAAAGAGCTCTTCCTCCGGGGCTTCGTCCTTCGTTGATCGTCAAAGAATCCGCGCGGAGGCTCGTATAGCGCCTTGGCTCGGACACGCCGAAGATGAGGGTCGGGATCGCCGCTAAACGGCGGCGGCGGCGGCGGCGGTGGCCGATGGCAAAGACCGTCGAATCGACCGTTTCGCGATGGAAAGCTTTATTAACCGATCGTTAAGACAAAGAGAAGAAGGTAGAAAGAAGGTGAAGAAGGAAAAGAAGAGGAGGACGAGGGTTGATCTCTCTCCGCCTCCTCGCTTCCTTTTTCGCGCGACGAAGGAAGACGGGGATCGATCTCCGGTGTCGCGGGTGGGAGACGTATCGATCGTCTTCGATTCGACGTAGCGACGTAGCGTCCACAGATCAAAACTAGACGGAGATTAAGAACGTGTCGAGAGACACGTTTCTCGACGTGCGAGACCCCGTTGATTGCGCTAATCACGTATGCGCGCGTTAGTTTCTTTTCTTTTTTTTTTTCTTCTTTTTTTTCTGAGTTCGAAGATTTACCGATTTAGTTCACGAGTCCCGCCGTCTCGTTTTACTGGGTATGCCTGTCGGTGTGTAAGTGTGTCCTCCGAGTGTGTATTCGCGCCAGTGGCGTGTAAGGTCATGTATTGCTGGCGTGGGAGTGACGGTGCGCGAAATCTACTTCTTCGTGATCGATTGTAATTTTATATAATATTTGTAAGACAAATTAAATATTATGTACAGCATACCTGACACAGTAAATAATAAGTATCTACCTTATATCTCTAACAAGAGTTTGTCTGTCGTTTTTCTTTTCAGGCACCTAGACTAGATAATTGGATGATGGTAAATTGGCGGAGGTGGAATCGATACGTCGAATCGACATCCCGTCACGCTTATAGTCGCTCATAATGTTAATCTTTATTATTAAATGTGATATGAAAGCGCTCGTAATCCGCGCTTGGGGGGTGAGGGAGAGAGAGAGAGGGTACCGAACATTCAGCACGCCGAACTCGTTATTATCAAGCCCGCTATTAAGCTAACGCATATCGTATGATCTAATTAGGATTTCCATCAAATAGCGATTGTGAATTAGCACCGATAGATTGCCTACTGTGATCATTCCCCGACGATATTCATTGCCTAATTAGATGCCGCTTGCGCACGTTCGTTTGCGCCTATTGAAACCGGTACCATTCATGTAATCGACAATTTTAAGCCGAAGTAATAATTGACAATGAAGTAATTCTCGCAACACAAAACGATACGCGTGACACGTGGTACTGTTAATTGACTCCAGTAGGCATCCGGAGAGTCTATACATTTATCTCGTGACCGCGTAAATTGATATCATTTTTAGAAAATAACGTTCTAAATCCCCCATCGCATTTCGAGGCGAAATACGAAGCAGGCCAATTAAGCGTCGGCTGAAATTAATAAGCTCTTGAATCGTTTTTTTTTCCTTTAATAGAGCTATTTATATCTATCGACGATTCCTCCCGCCCAATTAAGGACGCCGCTCCCTCAGATTCCTGAGGGTGGTTTGCGGTCGAGGGATGGAAGAAATTCTGAGCACCGCCGGCGCG